TATCAACCAAATTTTCAAAGCAAGTGTGTGAGCTTAACATAAGCATAGAGCTGAATCAAACACATTGTACTTAATTATCTACATCTTATTATGCCTTTTCTAGCCAATCATTAGGGTTCAACTCAGTAGGAAGAGTTTATTTGACCTAGTTCTAGTCTATTCCTTTCAAAGTGATTCCTACTCATAGTTTTAGTGAAAATATCAGCAATTTGATCTTTAATTTTACAAAAGGTAATTGAGATATTCCCCTTTTTAACATTATCTCTAAGAAAGTGATGTCTAACTTCAATGTGATTGGTTCTCTTGTGCTGAAATGAATTTTTAGCAGTGTTTATGGCACTGGTGTTATCACAAAAAATGGGAACACAATAAACGAATATATCATAATCCCTTAGCTGTTGTCTTATCTATAGCAACTGAGCACAACAGGATGCTGCTGCCACATATTCAGCCTCAGTAGATAAGGCCACTGAGTTTTGCTTTTTTGGCTTCCAAGACACCAGACAAGAACCTAGAAAATGAGTTGTTCCTGAAGTACTTTTCCTGTCAACATGAAAACTTGAATAGTCATCATCTGCATAACCAACTAGATCAAAGTTATACCCTCTGAGATACCATAAACAGAGGTCAGGAGCCCCCTTGAGATATCTTAGAGTCCTTTGGACAACCTTCAGGTGAGATTCCTTGGGATTTGCTTGAAATATTGCACAATCCCACACTGAACACTATATCAGGCCTGCTTGCTATGAGGTACTATAGTGACCTAATCATTCCTCTATATAGTTTTTGTTCCACAATTTTTCCGTCTTCATCAAGGTCCAACTTTGTTACAATTGCAATGGGTGAGTCAATGGACTTAGAGGAATCCATGTTGAACTTCTTCAATAGTTCCTTGATATATTTCTGCTAATGTCTCATGGTTCCAGTAGGTGCTTGCTTGATTTGCAGCCCAAGGAAGAAGTTCAATTCATCCATCATGCTTATTTCAAACTCATTTCCCATCATCTTAGCAAAATTCCTTGTATATTGCTTCATTGGTAGCCCCAGAAATAATGTCATGCACATAGACTTGCACAATAAGAATATTCTTCTCCCTGCTTCTTAGAAATAGAGTGTTGTCCACCTTTCCTCTTACAAAGTTATTGGCTAGGAGGAATTTTGAGAGCCTTTCATACCATGATCTTGGAGCCTGTTTCAGTCCATAAAGAGCTTTATCCAGTTTGCACGCATAGTCAAGAAATTCTTCACTTTCAAATCTAGGAGGTTGTTTGACAGACATTTCATCCTTCAGGTAACCATTCAAAAAGGCACTCTTTACATCCATTTGGTATAAAGTGAACTCCATGTGGGTAGCAAAGGCTATCAGCATCCTTATAGCCTCCATTCTAGCTGCAGGTGCAAATGTCACATCATAGTCAATGCCCTTCTCTTGATTGTATCCCTGAACCACTAGTCTGGCCTTGTTTCTTGTGATATTTCCATGTTCATCCAACTTGTTTTTGAACACCCATCTGGTACCTATGACAGTTCTGTTCTTGGGTTTCTGTACCAGGTGCCAGACATTGCTTATTTCAAACTGATTTAGCTTCTCTTGCATGGCTATGATCCAGTCTGGATCCTTTAGAGCTTATGTGAGTGCACATAGATTTCTTAGAGAAGACCTTGTTTGTACCCCTGCATTTGGATCAGAAATGATATTCTCAAGAGGATATGAGCTTTGGTGCTTCCATGGTCTGATTTGTATACCCAAATAAGATTCACCCGAGGAGTGACCCAAAGGAGCAGGTTCAATAGGTGTGACTTCATTAGTTTGGTCATCAGTTAGAGTAATTCTTTCTTCTCCTTGTTCCTCATGATCACTGTCAATTTCTTTTTGTTTGTAAGATCCATCTTCATCAGATCCCTTTGTATCTCCATTACCAGTGAACCCTATGTCATAATCTTCATCCTACAACCTTTCTTAGCTAAATTCTTAGATTTTTCAAAAATAACATGAATATTTTCTTCCACACACACAATTCTTCTATTAAAAACATTATAGGCCTTACTATGTGGAGATTAGCCCAAGAATGTGGAGATTAGCCCAAGAAAATTCCCACATCGCTTCTGTCATCAAACTTACCTAGAGTTTCTTTCCCATTGTTATGCACAAAATATTTGCACCCAAAGGCTCTCAAGTGAGTGATGTTGGATTTTCTTCCTCGAAGTAACTCATAGGGAGTTTTCTCAAGAATGGGTCTGACCATGCATCTATTTAGCAGTTAGTAAGCAGTATTGATTGCCTCAGCCTAGAAACTCTTAGGCACTCCACTAGCAATCAACATGGTCCTCCCCATGTCTTCTAAGGATTTATTCTTTCTTTCTACAACCCCATTTTGTTGTTGAGTTCTAGGTACAAAGAAATTATGGTTAATGCCATGTGAGCCACAGAACTTAAAGAATTTTGAATTTTCAAATTCAGTTCCATGGTCAGTTCTTACACTTAAAACATTACATCCTAGATTTTGTTGAATCATTCTGATAAATACACAGAAAACATAAAATGTTTCTTCTTTGAATCCCAAAAACAATGTCCAGGTATATCTGGAGAATTCATCAATAATCACAAACATATACCTCTTACCTCATCTGCTCCTTATTCTCATTTGTCCACATAGGTCCATGTGAAGGAGTTCCAGAGGTTTAGAAGTTCTTACAAACCTTTTAGATTTAAAGGATGACCTAACATGTTTCCCTCTAATACAGGCATCACATACCTTGTCAGAGGTGAACTCAACTTTAGGTAGCCCAAGGACCAAGTCCTTTGCTGCCAACTTGTTAAGTTGAGAGAGACTAGCACGTCCTAGTCTTCTATGCCATAGCAGTTGATCATCTTCCACTACACTTAGGCATGCGTGCTCACTCTAGGGAAGTGACATGATAGATATCTTGTAGACATTGTTATGTCTCTTACCCTTTAACACAATTTCATAAGTATCAAGCTTAGTGACAGTGCAAATTTTAGAATTGAATTTTACCTCATTTCCTTTGTTGCACACTTGTGAGATGATAAGAAGATTGTGTTTAAGACCTACCACATAATACACATCTTCTATAGCATGAAGAGAGTGACTTGCCAACCTTGCCAATACCTGTTATCTGGCCCTTTTTCTCATTTCCAAATGACACACTCCCTCCTTGGAAGATTGTCAGTGAGAGGAAGTTTTTCTTTTCTCCAGTCATATGTCTTGAGCATCCACTATCTAGATACTAGTCCTGATTGTTTCCTCTCACCTTAGCCTGCACCAAAATTCACAAGTTAGTTTTCAGAACCCAGACAAGCTTGGATCCCTTTTTGTTGGAAAAATGATGAATCAGATCCCTTATTGTCCAGAAGGGGAGAGGATTATGAGCTATTTTCTTGTTAACCTTAATCCACTTAGTATGGACATGAGGATTAACCTTTGGCTCATCTTCCTTCTTCACATTTTTAGCAATACCAAAGGCGTTTCTAAACTGAGCATGAATTAAGGCAGGACAAGTGTCTCTAAAGTGTCCTACTCTTTCATAATGAGTGCACATGTTATTATTAGAAATTCCTACATACTTTGGGTCAAATTTAGGACAGGTTTTCTGTAGCCAATTCTAGATTTGTTAGAGCACAATTTTTATCCAGCCAATTCAAGGCATGAGAAGATCTATGACATTTTCTTAGTCTAAAGAGTTCATAATTAGTCTTTTTTAGGTTTTCATGCAGGACTTTATTTCTACATTCAACATCACAAAGATTATCATTAGCAATTTTTAATTCCTTTCAAGCTTATCCTGCAGATCACTCATTTTTCCTTTGCCATGTATATCAGGAGATTTCTCATTCTCAGAAGTAAGCTCAAGAACCTGGTTCTTAATGTCTTTGACATGTTTCTCTAAACTAGCTTTGTCAAACTCTTTGATATAAAGTTTGACACAAGAAAGGTTGCTTATTAGCTAATCATTTCCAGTACTCATTTTATACATTTCATTCATTAAGGTTACAATTATGGCCATCTGTTGTTTTTTGGATATAGCATGAATATTTTCTTTCAATTCAAATATACTTACCTGATTTGCTTCATCTTCAGTTTGTGAATCACTCATGGCCATCATTCCTATCACTTCTTCCTCTGTTTTGGATTCTTCAATCGCCATTAAAGCCACTTCGATGTTTTCATTTCCAAAGTCAGTTTCCAAGGTCCTCCATATATCATTAGCAGAGATGCAAGAGTACACTCTGAGGCGAGTGTTTCTAGACAGGCGTTTGTAGAGCAAGTCTTTTGTTTTAGCATTTTTCTGAACTAGCCGACGATCTTCCTCATCGTATTCCTCTTCTCTTTTGTTGCACTTGTTACCTTCACTATCCAATTTGGTTGGGAGAATTGGTCCATGACTGAATACCCATAGGTCAAAGTCAGTAGCCTGAATAAATGTTTCCATACGTAGCTTCCATTCATCATAATGGTGTTCATCAAACAAACGAGGTCTTCCAATATGCATTCCAAGCTGTACTAGGGGTTCTGTTTTCACAGCTTGGTGTTCATCAATCACAGGATAGAGAGTTATAGCCTCATCCTCCTTTTCTTCCTCTTGATCATTTCCACTGTCCTCATATGCTTCAGTAAATCCTTTGCCTAGGATTTTTCCTTCGTTAGAACCATTTTCTCTCATCTTCTCCGATTTCTCTTTTTCAGCTCATTCTTTTCTCCGCTCAATTTTCTACATTGGGCAGTTCTTGACCATGCGATCTAGCTTGCCACACTTGTAGCACTCATCATAGTTAGCTTTGTCGATCTGCTTGGGCTTACTATTGGTCTCTCTCTTGGATGAACTTTTGGAATTCTTCATGAACCTCTTGAACTTGGCAAACATTGCTAGATCAGGATCATCGTAGTCAGATTCATCATACTCAGATGCTTTAAGAACCAAGGCCTTATCCTTCTTTGGTTCTTCCTTGCGCAGTTCTATTTTTCTCATTTCATGAGTTTTTAAGTTTCTAACCAACTCATCAAGTGAGATTTTGTCCAATTCCTTGGCTTCCTGGATTGCAGTGACCTTTGATTCCCATGATGCTGGAAGGATTCAGAGAACTTTCCAAGTGATTTCAGTTCATTGGTTATTATAGTGAACCTAGTCATCATATCCTGGATGGGCTCAGACTCCTTCATGGAGAAAAGCTCATAGTTTCTCATGAGTAGCTCAATCCTTGATCTCTTTACTTGGTTTGTTTCTTCATGAGCAGTTTGGAGTGCATCCCATATATGCTTCGCATTAGAGCACAAAGAAATTCTATTGTACTCATCAGGACCAAGTCCACAGATAAGGATTTTCTTAGCCTTTGCATTCTTCTCTATCATTCTGAAATCTGTTGCCACAAATTCGGAGGGGTCCTTAGGAACTGTTTTATTTTGTGCTTTTTGTTTAGTAGGATTCAAGGACTTTGGTACACTATGGTCCATAGTTCATAGTCTTCAGCTGTCAGGAAGTCTTCCATTCTTGCTTTCCACCAACTATAATATTTTCCATTGAACAAGGTACCTTGGTAGTTGATCGTCCTTCATTAATTCCGAATGGAGCACTCATCATGCTTTCAAGATTACTCTAGGTATTAGCCGTGTAAATGAGAGAACCTGCTCTGATATCAATTATTAGCTTGAGTGCCTGTATGGATTACTAAAGAACTTGGTTCTTTACCGTGTTCCTTAAGCAAAAAATAAACAAGCAATAAAATGAACATAGCAATTTTTACGTGGAAAATCACCCGGCTCAAAAGGTGCAAAAACCACGACCTACCACGTAGGATTTTCAACTCCAACTCTACTAAAACAATGAGCCAAAATGTGTCAATTACAAGAGAGTAATTAAATACTCTCCAAATTCTCCTACTACTCCTATTTGATTTACAAGTTACTCTAACTTGTAAATCAAAATGCTCACTCCAACTCCCTAATTATTTATAACACTTGATTACGACTCAATTTCCTAAAACACATTCACTAGACTGACTCGAGAAGAATACAAGGCAAGTACTCAATACAAGTAAACGACTTATGACTCTTTAGTTGATGTGTAAAAAGATAGTTCAGAAGTCCAAAGTCTATCCTATTTAAAACACGACTTGATATCTTCTAGGAGCCCTATTCATAGTCAGCTTCTTATATGATAGGACTCCTACTGTTCCAAGAATTTCACAAGCTTTGGGACTTTTGTCTCTGACTGAATTATCTGTATCTTCTTCAGCAACAACCCTTATCACTTATAGCAACCTTCTTCCACCAAACTCGGACATGGGTAACATTTAGATAAAGTTACTGTTTTATACAGACGTATAAGTATCCATTATGAGGAGCTGATCTTTTATCCTGAGGAGGTGGTTCTTCACAGCAGTTAAGCAACTACGTTGAGAATCTGGTTCTTTGAGAATTTAATCACACTTTGTTAATCATCAAAATTTCAATACTCAACATTTGTACAGGTGGTTGAGTCCAAATTTCCATCACAAGACATTATTTTTCTTTAAGAAAAAAAAATGCTCTTTTTAAGTTTGTATATATTGGAGTATTATTTGAAAGTATATTTCCCACATATATCTCTCTTTTTTTTTTTTGCACAATTATACAACTAAAGTACATCCATCCATCATCAGATTCATCAGAAGGAAGAACTATTCAATTCTATAGATGCATGTAGTATAAAAAGTAATCCCAAAAAAAAAATATTATATGAGCAAAGAGTTGTAAGAACATGGGTAGTAGTGACTAATTAATCTGTATAAAAATAATAAAACAACTGATTTTAAGAGTTAGACAAAAAATTAGGACAATTAATCTCAACATAACAGCTACTGACACGAGCAATTTTTTATCAAACACCTCAAAAACAAATTCTCTAGCTACCAATAATGTGTAGAGTGATACCAAATAAACATAAATAAGGCAACTCGGTTCACGAAGCATTCCACATTCACATAAGGTCTGGAGAAAGTCTGTACCCTTAGGGGTATGACGCAGACAACCTAACCTAATACAAGCATTAGTGGTTGCTTTGATGGCTCAAACTCGCGAGGTCATACGAAAATAACTTTATCGTTACTCCAAAGATCCCCTTCAAAAAGAAAAATTCTGTAGATGGAAAAAAGAAAAAAAAAACTGAATATTATTGTTGTTTGTTGTTATTGTTGTTGTCGTCGTCATGTTATCGTTGCACGAGAGTAAAAAGTACTGAAAATGCATTATAAGGAAAATATAATACTAATCTCAATCACTAGTCACAAGGGTGATGAGGTAATTAGGAGTATTAATAAATGCTTATTGGGGAAATTAAATCATTAAAAATAAAGCTGTTTAATAATTACCATCAAGTTACGAATGTAATGAGATGGATGACCAGATGAGATCCCCATATTCTTAAACTATAGGTCTCCGAAAATGAATTTTTTTTAGTAGCAAGCGTTTTCTTCTTTAATAGGTACTATACTGTAAGTTTTTGGGATCATGGGGCGCCTATGTGAACCGACTCGATCCAATCTTACCTGACCCGTTAATAAAGGATTAACTGGTTTTTTAAATAAAGGATAAACAGTCGTGTTATAACTGTTCAACCTTATCCTTTAAAGGAGGGGGAACAGTTATAACTGTTCAAATCCTTTTTGAAAAGGAGAGGGAACAGTTATGTGATAACTGCTCAACCTCTCCTAATAAAAAAGGGAAGTCTTCTGCTTCAAAAGAGAGAGCACGAGAGACATTACGTAGAAAACAAAAGGAAAAAAAATCAGAAAGAAAAAAAAAAAAGCAATCCTGACTTTCTAGATTACATCATCATACTAAAAGATATTTAGTTTGTGAACTTTAACCTTGATTTCCTAGCGAAATCAAAGGAGACTTGGGACAGATTCTTTTGGTAGTAACAACAATAATATCCGCTGCAAATTTAAGATACACAATCCGTTGTTTTTGCTCCGAATTATATTATATTGGTATCATAGCATGGTTGAATGATCCAGTTATTCATGCAAATTGTCTTGAAATCGCTTTTTTATAAGTTTATGTTGATTTTTTTTTTGTTGGCTAATTTTTGACAAGTTTCAGAGAAAACAGTTTCTGGTTTTTTGCGTTTTGGTCATCGGTGAGATATGATTTTTTGAAGATTGGCAGTTTTTGACTATTTTTCTAACGAAAAACTGCTTCTGCTTTCAGCGTTTTAGAAATAAATGTTAAAAGTTTTTGCCTAAATCTTATATAATCATGTTCTACTCCTTTTGGGCTTTCCGAAAATATATTATATGTGAAAAACAGATTAAAAACGAGTGAGATATGATTTTTTTGAAGATTTGCAGTTTTTGACTATTTTTCTGACGAAAAACTGCTTCTGTTTTCAGCATTTTAGAAATAACTTGTTAAATATTTTTGCCTAAAACTTATATATTCATGATATACTCATTTTGGGCTTTCCAAAAATATTTTGATGTGAAAAACGGAATCTTCCAACTTTAAAAATCCTTTTATGATCCTTTTTGTCTTCTACCAGAAATTTGTGACATACATTGTTGCATTAAATGGTAACAACCATATTTCTGATTTCTTGTTCCTTTTTGGATTCATTCCGGGACGTTCGACTACGGAAGCGATTCATCTAGTAAGGAGATTAGTGGAGCAGTACAGGGAAAGGAAGAAGGATTTGCATATGGTGGACCTTGAGAAAGCGTACGATAAAATCCCGAGGGAGGTCCTGTGGAGGTGTTTGGAGGTTAGCGGCATTCCGGTAGCGTACATTAGGGTGATTAAGGATATTTATAATGATTCTAAGACTTGGGTGAGGACTGTGGGTGGTGACTCGGAGCATTTTCCTGTGGAGATGGGGTTGCACCAGGTGTGAGCACGTGATTTTTGCCATATAGGAATTACTCCCAGAAAATATAAGAAAACAATTTTTTCCATTTTTTTCAATTTTATAGGATTTTGTGAAAATTTGTGCTAATTATTTGCATTTCTGTGCATGTTTAAGTGTTATTTAAATCATGAAAAATACCAAAAATACTATCTATTGCAATTAGGCTTTAGTTTTATATTTTTAGGATTAATCAGTAATTATCTGTTTTATAAAAATTAAAAATCACAAAAAATAGCTCATTTTTACATTTTTACCTTTAAATCTTTAGGTTATTGGTTTTTCTCTTTTAATTTAGAATTAAGTGATTTTTATAATTTTCATAACCAGATAATTAGCTTAATTTTGTAATTTAGATTAATTTAGGAATTTAGTTTTGGTATTAAAATATAAAAAAAAAAGAAAAAGAAAAGACAAATAAAAAGAAAGGGAATAAAAGAATAGAAAACAAATGGGGTTAATTGCAAAGGTTGATTCTATTAGGCTAAGCCTTGGTGGAGCCCAAATTACCCCTCCACCCGTTCCAAATCCAAGCCCAATCCCCCCAACCCATTCCAGCCTAGTTACCCGCTTCAAAGTCTTCAGCTTCTAAGATGCATGAAACGACGTAGTATGAGGGCAATACTACGTCGTTTTGAGTTCAAGTGTTTTAAAGAAATCCTGGCCCTTCATTTTCTCTCATCTAACGGCCATGAAAGCCTCACCTCATCTGTTTAAAAATGTCCAAATGACTTCAGAGACAACCTAGGACCATATCTATTCATCTCCTTCACCCTGTATCTCACCACCGTCCGCCACCCACCGACAATCTCCAGCGGCAGCGGCGGATCTCCAAACTCCACCAAAAATTGACCACACAACCTCCGTTGNTACCCAATCTTTCCGAATTTCAAATCTAAGATTACAGAAAATCCAACATGTTTTCCCTCCTCTGATTCCTCCCTCACCTGGCATCTTCTTGACAATAACATGCGTGAATCGACTAGTCAATTGGTTGTGATTTCGATTCGTTTCATGGTAACCGATTTCTGGTTAAACAACCATTGATGAGCCAATACTCCAAGCTTCTGCTTCATCTTCCTCTTGGCATGTGTTGAGGATTGTGACATGGAGCACTAGCCGTTGAAGAAATTCCGGCCAGTGCTCATGTTACAATTCCCACCATTCGCCGAAACATTTTTGCTGGTTATCGACTCGCTGGGTCATCGATCTCTTTGATAGACCAACTGGTATACCTTTCTTCCTTTTTTTGTTGTTTTCTTGTTTATAACTCTTCATCTCACATTTAGGTTTAAGGCATGTTTAGTTCATAGTTGACTAAGTCGGCAATAATAGCTTAGTAATACGATTAATCGCCTATGTTAATGCATTGACATCTTTTGATTTTTCTTTTCCTTTTTGTTCCTTTTTCTTTTCCTCTTTCTATTTCTTTTTCCTCCTTGGAAGTTTTGTTTTCAGTTTAGTTCAGAGCCTTGGTTGTTTAGGCTTCTTCTGAATTTGTTTGGTTTGGATTCGGAATTGGGCTTGTTAGTACAGAGGCCCAAAGAGAATGTTATGGCATGCTAGTGCAGAA